AATTTGTTTACCCTTACCAAAAACTAGATATGGTCTCGAAAAATTAATAAATTTTAAAATGAAATAAAGAGGAAGAAAGTTATCATTTTTACAATATACAGTTTTAAAATTACGACTCGTATGTATTTCACGGGTGTTGGTCACTTGCGCGCCGCGGTTAGATTACCCCAAGCCTAATCCCCAATAGACACTTGCGCGCAAATAGGGTAAATAAGCTTCCTACATTATAGTACCATAAGTTTCCTAGTAAGTCTAGAAGTAGAGGGTTAAAGAAATAGCAGACTTATTTTTGTAAAAAAATGTTTCTTATAGATTTGTAAAAAATAAGTAATTTTTCATATACATTCATTTCATATATTTAACTGTTTTATTTTTTATAAGATTAATCTATGGTAGAAAATTTAAGAGCCATAAAAATCTTTTCAGATCTGTATACCTACGTATTTGATGATTAATGAATATGTGTGTAATTGTGTCAAAGTTAAATTAATTCTTCGATTACTTATTTTAATGTGACCAACACCCACCTAAACTACTACAACACGTAGCAACTGTTTATATGGTATTAACCTTTAAAATTATATGCAAATTTTTCTCAGCATTGCGCCCAACTGTCCGGTAGTTAAGACTACCAGACCACCTGCAGATTTTTCTGACCGTGGTGCCCAACTGACCCATGCCCGTATTTCACCAAGTCGATTTTACATTCTACACTTCAAAAATTGGCATAAGAACCTTCGGCACCCATGAAGTACGTACAAACACTGCTGTATGACTGTTAGAGCGTATTCTTCAATAAAGATTCATTTTACTTCCCGAGCGTAAGCAAAGGAAGTATTGTAATCGAGTGCGTCGGCCGACTCTCTACTTTTGCATTTTCTCGACCTATCATGATCCCTAGAGGACGAAGAACTAGGTCTGTTTGTCCGTCTGTCCGTCTGTCTGCCGTCCCGGATTTTTATTAAACAGATAATCTCCGAAAGTACTGGGCCGATTGTTGTCAAATTTTGTATTTATATTGGGTGTATCATGCAGATGGTAAAACGCTAACCAAAATTTGTCTAATCACCCCCACCACTAATGTGATGACGTCACTTCAAAATTGTACATAGTAATTGGGTTTTAAATTGTATCAAATAACATAGTCTTACACATGTAGTTTATGACTCCGAATTGAGATTTTACCCGAAACGTCTAGATTTTAGGAAAAAAAAAATCAAAAGTAGGAAACAACATCTTGACATTTAATTTGGAATCTACAATCGAATGCTTTGAAATCTTGTAGATGGTTTACAGTTGTGATAAGCATGATAAAATTTTAAACACAATATATTTACTTATCCCCTCCAAAAAAGTCTCTACTTGTGATTTATCTTTCCATTAATATTTTTTGAATTGCATATACAGAGCGAGTTAAAAAAATTAATGAATGCGTGAATTTATTTTATTGATTAAAGGAAGAATTGCAAAACTGAATACTTTGAAATCTTGCAGACGTTTTAAAGTCATTGTAAGCATGGTAAACTGTTGATCCAAATCAATCTGTTTATTTCCCCCAAAAAATTAATGACGTTATCTCAAAATTTTGCGGAATAAATTCTACCCAAAATGTGCAAAATATGAGTTTTGACTTGTGATTCATCATAGCGTTCATATTTCCTATTGATCAAATTAAGAACGAGTCATCCCATTTTCTCGAAAATGTGAAAATACAAACATCTTTATTTAATAAGAATTATAATAATGATATTCAGAACATTTTGTCGATTGTAGCTTACTAGTTAATTGTTTTGTTCCTCTGATTTGAGGGGTCGAACTTATTCAAATCAAACTATTTTCTACGTGACATTCTTTCGATGTATAAACATAAACACTTTCAAATTGTGCTCCGCTAGATATAGACAAGTTATAATTAACCATGTGAATTACAGCATCCGAAAACCAAATAAAATGTAGTGTTTTATTCAGTAAACGGAAGTCAGAACAGTAAAAGTCTGGACCGTCACATTGTCACCTGGTTACTGCAATTCGTAGAAACCATGTTTTAGTTTCGTTTGTATTTCACCATCACGTCTACAGGTTGATAAGTGTTATCGCTATTTGTCTTAAATTACAAGTGTTATACAGGATGTTCATTTTACTTATCTGTTCACTTTATTTGTTCACACCTGACAATTTTTGCATTCCTAGGCAACATATTATACACCCCAGAGACCACTTCCTGCAATTTCATTTTTTTTTTAATACGCAATCATTGCAATCACAGAAAAAAAAATTACAAAGATGTCAATGCCAAATAATGACAAAATTGAAAAAATGAATTCAATTTATTTTAAAAAGCACATAAGTCGTCACGTTTCCCACAGCGAGGAAAGTACTGTCTAAACTCTTTAGACCAATTTTTTAAACTTGCATACGGATAAACAATTTTAATATATAGGGTGGTCCTCGATATCCCACTAATTATTATTAGAGAGAAAAGAAGTAAAAGACAAGTGTCTTTAAGAAGCATAAATTAACTCTTTTCGACTATAATGAGTGTTTTGTTTTTGCGGTTTAGCACACAACGCAGTTCTTTTTTATTGAATACTCTAAATTATGTACATATTTTCATTAGACCCGTTTTAGGATTTATAACCATAGTTTATTTTTGAAATTTCTATCCGACGTTGCCACATTATTACAAGTTTCTTTATTTTTTTTAATAAAGCAAGGGTTCACAAAAAATCGCAATAATGTTACCTTTAAGACAGAATGAAATCAAATTTTAATATATAAATATAAAAAGAATTCTAAAACATTACAATTTTCAAATATCGATATTTCAGTTTTGCAAATAGAACACGTTGAGATTAGTTTTTTCTTGATAATGCCAACGTGGGGTATTAGACCACCCTGTATTTTATTACTGCATCTTACTCTATTTTTGTTATCTTTCTTTCAATATGTCGGTATCCCTTTAAAAAAATAAAAAATTTCAACAACTATCCACTCTAAATATATAAAAACCATAACCACAACCAGAATAAAGAAAGAGAATAAACAGACAGAATAACATGCGGTAATGAAAATAGGTGTCCTTTTTGAAAAAACTGAATTATCGATATTTCAAAATTGTATTACTAAAAATTTATAAGTAAATATGTACTGTATATTATATATCTTTATTGCAATTTTTTGTGAACCCTAAAATTAAAAAAAAAATGGGAATACCGTGGTAAAGTTTTACTGGAATTTAAAAAATAATCTGTGGCTAGAAAACCTAACAAGAGGCCAACCAGGATACCTAAAAATATATAGCGTATTCCATCTGAAAAGTTATGTAGACTTAGAAATTCTGTATAGTTGAAAATAATGTTCGTGTACAGTCGTCAAAGAAGCATACAACTTTAATTCAACTTTTTTATTGTTTTTCTAACAATTAATACGATATCGAGAAGCGCGCGCGCTTAGTGACTCAGCCTGAAATGTTATCACTCTTTTCAGCATTTTCAAGGAAACTAGGTAGGTGTTTTTTGAAATAAAAATACTTTTCACACTTTTGATACATCTAATTTTTTGAAGAAGTTGCACAGATAAATTCTAATTAGCGTAATCGGTGCGATTTGAGGAGCAATGGTGTACTTGAACCTCCCGTCGGAATTATTAGTGTTCAGGTGCTAACTGTATTGTACAAAAAAGGGTTAGTTTTTGTTTTAAATTTACGCTTATCCAGACAGCTTTAAGTAGGCAAATTTTAAGAGAACAATAATTGTTAATTACAATTCAAGCCGTACTAAATGCAGCGAGGACGTGAGCCTATGGGCGCTGTGAAGGTTATCAGCACTAATCCGGTCTCTGCTAATTGATACGGTACAACTTGTAAAATTTCGAAGAATCGGTATTTGTAATTTCTAATATAATTTCTAATATCAGGGTAGTTTTTTTGTACCTTTTTGATTTTTTTTTTTAGAATTTTTTTTTCATTTCCAATAAAATGTATGTACTTTGTAACATTTTGAGATGACGTCATCAAGTTTTTGTAGGGAATAGACTGACTTTACTTTATGTATCAGAAAATTATTTTACTTTTAAGACTACCTAGACTGAGGGGTAGGCCATATACGCATTTAAGATTTTTTGGTTTAGCTTCACCGAGTGAATTTTCATTATTAATTTTACACCATATGTTTTCATTTTTATATCAATGCAAATTTAGAATGCCAACAAGATTCTAATAAACGACAGAAAAATATTATAAGGTCCACCACACCAGACGTGAACAATAGAGTATATAAATAATCTCGAAGACAAGCAAATAAATAACACAAAATTTGAATAGTCACAAATTTTATGTGTGAAACAGTATTAACAAAATTATAACGTCCTTGAAAATGCATTAACTTAATACGTCTGTGCTAATGTGAATAAGGCAATTTTGTTAATTAATTATAATTTAGAGTGGTGTAGTGTGTATTCTGTGTTTAACGATGATACCATAAAACTTAAATACAAGATTATCACTCATCTTAAGGCACCCAGTCTCCAAAATATCACATGCAACGGAGTGTTATCTTTGTTTTTAAAAGTGTTAACACAAAACAAGAATAACCAATAGCAGTGCGTATAGTAACAGCTGCTTGCAGGTATACTTAATACGGCTTATTAAGGTTTTGGTGCAGATGGTTTTTAAGCCCAAGGCAAGATCAGTGGAAAGTTTGTTGAACCATTTGGCAACCCCAATCGATAACCATGTTGCATTAATGAATCACTGAGGGTGTGCATGTTTACAACAAAGATATTCGCAGCTAAATAAATACGACTAATTTTTAATCATACTGTAAGTATGTGGTTTTGAATTGTCTGTCTTGTAAACATAAACAAGTTAAGACTTCAGATGGTTTATCACAAAATAAACGATATTTAAAACAACTTTTGACTAGTTTTGATCATGTGTTTCTTAAATGAACTGATTTAAAAACTTACAAATAGTATTTTAACAGACGAAAATTAAAACTTACCTTATAATAAATCGACGAATTTTGTGGATTTATTACTAAATGTATTCATAAAAAATATATCACAAGCGCACATTATTTATATCAATTTTCAATATGCTTAAAATTAATAAAAATAATTAAAAGTTTAATTCAATTTAACACTGATCATTGCACAGATATGTACTGCTTGTACCACGTTCCAAGCCGACCAAAATAAAACTGACATTAATGACAGGTGTACGTTGTTTTCCTTTACGCATGCTTCTTGGCGAATAGACCCGAATGTGCATGCCGACTGCACCCGACTCCCGACGAAGGAGGAAGGAAATGAAATTCAAACGTGTAAAATAAAAGTTTTTATTTTTCATAATAAATTAAATGTGTGCAGCTTACAAGGGTTGAGATTTTTTAGAAGGATCCAAAATAAAGAACTCTTCTATGGTTGCACAATACTGGTGCCCTCCCTACGTTGTCTATAAATTCTACATCCTAACTAGTGATATCTAGAATGTATTAGTTTTTGATATTAGTATGATATTATTTTATTGATATTAAATAATTTAAAATTTACATTTTAAAACAATTCAACGTTAGGTACATTATACATTTAAATAAACTCTAACATTTATACAATAATAATATTCTCTCTATCTCACTTTACCCAATTTATATGCATATTAAATTTATCAATATGAACTTGGCTAACAAAATTCGTTCTGTTGTAACTCCCAGTAACATAACGTGACTGAATTAATAAAATCTAACCAAATTATTCATATAAAATACTAGTACTTAATTGGAGTGATTTACAGTCTGTACTAATATAGAACACGTACGTACATACTCATTTTATAAACCATTCTCTCAATGTCGTATGTTTTGAATAAACCAGAAAATTTGGTTTGTAGTTTGCGTGAATATAAAAAATTATTGCAATAAAATCGGTTGATAAAGCATCATTATACTTAAGGAAAAAATCTCTAATAGTTTGCAAAAATATATATTACTTTAACCTATACTATTTTAGGTGTTTTGCCTCAGTCTTGAAGGAACAGCGTAACAAAAAATATATATATTTAAGTACACTTGTGATCAAAATAATCATTTATTTAAAAAAAAACGCCTTTTGCTTGCCAGAAAATAATTTATTTTGATTACATGTGTACATAAAGAGCCAAATAAAGCAACAGAAACAAAAAATATAATTTACTTAAATTTATTTTATAAGTTATTCAATATTTTTAAGTCTTTTCGAAAGTGGGCCTTCCCGTGATCCAGACATGACAGTGTTGACCACCAAGTTTTAAAAGTTAGAAAACTTTACAAGTTTTCTTGGTTGCACATCACGTTCTGATAGCGCTAGCAACTTTTCGAATGAAACTGATGTTTTGTATCAAGGGACACAAACAATCGTTCCATTTCGTATAGTGCTTCCTTTATTTCGATGACTTAAAAGTTATTGAATAATTTTGATGGTCAATTTATTTCTTTTCGTCCCCATTTGGCTTAACGGGTGGTGTTTGAGCCGGTGTTGGATCGTCTTGGAAAAGTGGGTTTTTCACTTCCATTTCCCCAGTCTGGAAATGAGAAAAATGATAAATGAGACAGGATTGCTGTGAAATATTTATCCATATCAATTTTCACAACGTTTAAGCGCCTATTTCAGTTTGACAAATGTAAAACTTGGTGCCTATTATCGTAATATTGTAAAATACCCGTCTACAAACACAAAGGGTAGTTTATTGCTGTTATTTCGCAAAAAATGTGGTGTAATAAAAAGACGCTTGTGCTGAATAATAGGCGTTTTAATAACAATTATTCACTTTCTTTTTTTGGTACATTTCCCGCATAATTTATGTATGAGAGGTAAAAATAGTAAATATTTATAGAAGAGATATTTTGTTATTTGGGTAACCGCACAGGTATCCATAAACGCGTGAAAACCATGTTGTATAATGCAAGAAAACGTAGCCTGAAGATATATTGAGATTGATCCGTTTCCCGTAACTTTCAACATTCGTTAAATCTTCGGTACAGCTCAAAGCCGATATCATCAAATCCGGCTTTTAGATGTTTGACTCTCTATTTTATTGCTCCGATTAAGTTGCGAAACGTAAAACGAAAACGCATCATATCGGAAATCTTTAGAAATAAACCGCCAACTAATGCTTCAGCGTCACAAAAATCAATATTGTTTTAAGTATATTAATTTTTATTACTAAAATTTAGAGTTATTAAGTAGCTCCCAAGAGATATAATTATGAAGGTAATCTGGTAGTTCTGAAAGTATAATTTATTACGCATTAAAAAAGAGATACGTTTGTTTTCAGTTGCAAAAATTTGTCTCCTAAAATTCTAGATTTGCTTTTAGGCCTAGTACGCCGTCAGTTACTTTATGAGGGGTCTGTAGTACTTTGGACCGCAAAGCTGCAATAAAACCATTACGAACCCTTGGCAACGGAGGTACGACTTCAGCCAGAGCCGGACGTCAAATTTTGGAGCGTGATGATCATATATGAATCGTGGTAGGTTAATTTTTACTGGGATTTTTCTAGGAAATATGTATTTGCAAAGATTTAAAAAGTTTTAAGAACCACACTTTCATGTGTCCTTAAATTTTAAGTTTAAATTCGTTGAAAGCGGTCCGTTTAACAATCTACCTGTTCACGTATTGAAACAAATACGGTCCTGGAAAGGTAAGGATGGCGAGTAATCTTGATTGACAGTTTTATGCTGGGTGCACTGTCCGAAGTGGTCGGAAATTTTAGGCTGCAATTCCCATAGTTGGAGTCATTTGCAATTATCTTTCGTCGTACTTTAACTGTGTTTATATTATACCACGCGTCAAAGGAAGGTGCAAGCTTGCGAAGTAGTGTCTGTATCGTGTGTGAACGAATATAGTGAGCTTATAATTTGACTTTTTTAACTAATACCACTAAAAATAAGCCGACCATGTTTCTACGAACGGTGGCAGGCAAATACAACAAAGAGTTGCTATTTGAATTTAAGACGGTAACATAAATTTGCATCTAATAAGCTGCATTATTCGTTGACAAGGGTCGTGAAAACGTCAAAGTCGTAAAACCAGTAGGTATACTCCTGGCAGTCTTGGCAATTACACAACTTATATAAACCATAAGAGAAGCAAAAATTTATAAAACGTGTATTAATGGAGCATTTTATAGAAAACTGACACTAGTTGCATCTAGTAAGTTTTACCTTACTTGACTGAAAACTGAACTAAAATGACTAGGTATTAAATAAATTAGTGTACAAATTATTTACAAAATTGTATCATATAAACGAGGATTTATTTTATGTCTTATTAACGTTTAATGACTTATAGAGTATGTAAAAGTAGATTTCGCGTTTTCCTCTGTCTGTCGTTTATTTGTCGTCTATGTCGATTTTTATTACACAGATAATATCCGAAACTACTGGACCAATCATCATTTTGTATAGTTAAGGTTATCTGAATTTTATGGAGTAATAAATTTCTGTACTCGTGATTTGTTCATCCGATCCGCCTTGATTTTTGTCACAATTACTTTACAAAATTTTTTTTGTAATATTTTCCACGTAGCACGTAGCCGAAATGTGGCTTCTGCATGAAATGCTCCACAGTACAGTGGGGTTGATTTATTTCCGGATTTCTGATCTGCCTCGTGTAGAATGAAAGTGGTATCCATAGAAATAATACATATTATAGTTATTAGATCAATGGTGTTATCATAAAATAAATACAATTTTACAAAAACTTATTTCAACGATACGTGATGAAATGCTTAGTGTAGCAAAATGAACAATTAAGGTATAATGCTCCTAAGTTAATTACATCGAACGGTCCTTGCTTCTCAACCACAATCAAACAAATCTAGTTTGTAAGATAAATTATAAGTTATGAGTTAACTGAAAGGGCACACCTGAAATAACTTTTTTGTTTAATTACCTAGGTTAATGGAATTTATTTTACAAATAAAGACGAATCAGTTCCATGTATGTATTATGTATGATTTCATTACATAAAATTATTGATAAAAAGGAAAATAAAAATTATTAAAAAATCGTCACAATCTTTTTTAATTTATCTGGATTTTTATTTTACTATAAAAATGAGAAAAAATACTGTGCAAAGTTCAATGTTTATCACTTTTGATTCGGTTTGTTTGCTTTTGTAAAATAATATCTTCTTAATGCATTTTCCGTGCTCTGTTTTTAAAACACGTTTTACGTAAGTAATGAAAATTTTTTATTTAAATGTTTTAAACTCATGATATTATTTCATTTATTATGCTTTTTTAAACAAGCCAATCCAACATTTTAACAAATTTTACGTAAAATTGCACTAGCAGAAAATTAATTAATATTTTTTAAGAAAAATTATTGTAATAATTTACGACTATTAAATTGTGAAAGTAATATAGGTATTTTTTTTATATTTTTTGATACAAAAAAATGCAGAATCTGAAAAAAGTCAAATGATATTTCTGCAATATATTTTTTTCCGTTACTTTTTTAAAGCAGTGAATTTACGTATGCACGCAGGTTATTATTCTCCATTTGCAAATTTAATATCATTATTTTTGGATAATACTCGTAAATAAAAAAGTAAGTCAAGGTATTCCTTTTAGCTGACTCGCCCTGTATGTTTCAAGTAATAATATAATAAAATGTTGTGATGACATCAACAACGTGGTATAAATACCGAGTGTTTGCAATTTTTTATCAGATTGGCAACATATTTAAAATTCTATGCCATACCTGATGTCAGATACAAACTTTGGACACCAATTCAGAACTATCTTGTCATTGGTTTTTACGCGCGTTTATGTCAAAATTGACAAGCTTGAATTGACATGCTAACATTGCTGCCAATAATGAAGAATTGCCAACTCAAAAATTTGCTTCAATTATTAGGTAATAGCATTAATAGTCACTCGGTATATTAATTTGGATAAGTAATATTTTGATATAAATAGTACTGTGTTCGTAAAATAAGTTATCTTTGATTTGATCAATTAAATAAATCGGTTTTAAAGTTTCTAGAATGTTGTTATAGGCTTGATTTTTGTTTCAATTACCGTAATATTTACGGCAAAAAAATAAAAGCGGATTAATAAAATACAAGTCTAGAATATAAAATTTGAATAGGATTTTTGCATTGGTCATTAAATTGGTGGAAAAATTTTGATTAGCGTTGCAGCATCTACACGATATCCTAAAATAAATCTAAAATTTCACAACAATAAATCCACTAGTTTCGGAGATTTTCTGTCTAATAAAATCGACGACAGACAAACGGAAACATGAGACCTATTTTTTCATACTCTAGGTGTAATGAAACGTCGAAAAGAGATCAAATTATTCATTCGCCAAATAAATCCATTTTGGAACGATATCTAGCAAGAATAGTTCATTTTTCGTAAATCAAAATTCGTCTGTTAAAAGTTGTTGATGTGTAGTAGGTAAATAAGCAAAATAGTGTATCTAACCACCAGTCCCCTAGTTTCCCCTATTACGTATTTTCTAAAATGTGTCTTAATACCGTCGTTTATATACAATACCTTGTACTATAAGGAATTTATAGTTACCTGTTTTTGATAATTTAGAAATAAACGTCAATTTTTACGTTAAAAGGAAAAAAAATAAAGAAATTCAAAACAAGAGCTGGTCAGGGTGTCGTCCATCGACGGATAATGTTTTTTCTAAACATTCGTTTGAGTAGATTTTGTATCAATTCTGTCGAAATGTCAATTTTAAGATTGTAGTATCTAACATGACTTCAACTTTGTTGCAGCAAAATGGATAACTTTTTTTCTGGTATAGCATGTTTAGAAATATTGTGCGGATTTTGCCTGAAGCATCTGTAGACTTTCTCTAATTTTTATGATGGCTTAACCGCACACTCTTGTAAACTAAGCGTAGTCCGTTTGGTTGTCGAGATGGAACGTAATGATTTTTTTTTTTATAATAATAATGCAGTGTCCCTATTGGCGATTGTGTACGTTAACGGATAATACGTTGTACGGAACGTAATTTCGCTAATTGTCTAATAACTTCCAAGACAACTGTGTTTGCAAGCTTCATCTGAGTAGACTGTTAACTACCTTTGATAGTGATGATAATGAATACAAATTTGGAGTAAATATGTACTCTTTGTTTCGACAAATTGTCTGTTGACACTCCTGTTAAGCTCAGGTACGGCCCATCATTGCTCATGATAAGAGGTCGAGGTACGTAGACAAGTTTATACAACGGTGGGCGATTAAACCGTCATAAAAATTAGTAAAAGTCAATAGAACCTTGAAGCAGAATCCACACAGTATTTCTGCTCAAGCTACATATATGAAATTTGAAAGATGTTGAAATTATATTTCTGGTTGTTTCTTGAATTTTTTAGGTGTGGAGCTTCTCGTGGGTAATCCGGTGTAAAAATATTTTACTCAACTGGGTATTTCTACCAATCAAAAAACATAGGGTTAGTTCCACAATCAACAGGGTATAAAATGAATTTACTCGTAAATATGTAGTGCTTTTTGTATATAAAAAAACAATCCTACTACAATCCAATCGTGCGCACGGAAAAGAAAGAAAAGCAAGGATATGTACAGATCCAAAAGTTGATATCTATATATGGAAATAAATTTTATAAAAAAAAAAAAATGACTTACGGGTGCTAATCCAGGGCATTCGTATACAGTATAATCTCCTTCTTCGTTTTCCTCGTCGCTGTCTGCTTCTGAAACGGAACCATGCCTCTCTCCTGCAGCGGCTCTACTGTAAAAAGGACACGAGTGTAGACATTTTCGTCTTAAACAAAGTAAATTCATAAAAACCGTATTTCTCACTATAATGTAGGTGTCTTATTAATTAATATAGGCAGGATTCGGGTGGAACCATGCGAATAAATTCTTGGAGCACCAGCACATTAGTCAAGCGAGGTCGTTTGCATTATTTACCTGGCAGACTGCACAACTGTTATCCAATCACTTCAGTTTTTCCGCAAAAAAAATACAAATACCCCAATCGTACTTTAGGTACTTTTTCACCTATTTACTGATTTGTTAGTTTATAGGCGATCTTTGGTTTCCCCATACTTTTAATCTATTACAAGGGTGGCGGTAAGCCGTAAGACAACTTTTCAGAACAATAATCGTCAACGAAAATTCCTGTCCTTCATGTTCGCAGTACAAAGCTAGCAAGCACACTAATGGATTATTCCGCGGTGTCCGAGCCCTAATTACAACCTTTAACAAGATGCAGAAGCAGTAAGTGTAAAAAAGTACTAGACTCATGAAACGTACAAAATATTAATACCTGCAAATACATAATGACTATGTGAGTCTATCGCTTTCTCTAGTAGTCCAATGAAATAAGTTAGTAAAAAATACAAAGAGTGTACAGAAAAAATCTGAAAACAACCTTCAAAGTAATTCAGACAAACATTTTCCGTTTTTGAAGTATAAAAAATACCGCATCTATGTCAGCATGTACTTGTCCCCAGTTGGTTCATCTTCAAGAAATAAAAAAAAATAAAAAGCATTACTGAGAAACAAAAAACGAATCTCATTTTTAGGAAGGACTACATTTTAAGATGATGCCGCCTTTTGGTAGGGGTAACCACGTAACGTTTGTCTAGAATTATAAGAATTTTATGGACTCCCAAAGTTAATTCGTTTTACAGCCCTGCTGTCAATTTTATTGTACAGCTGAAAAGCGTGGCGAACTCAGGTACAGAAAACATCGGCTTTCTCCTGACAGGCTCTTTACCTGTACAATAAAATTGACGACAGGGTTGTAAAACGCAGTCCATAAAATTCTTATAATTCTGGACAAACTTTACAAGTGATTTGTGACGGTACATAATACGAATTTGAATATTAGGGTGGCCTATGGAAATATTTTTCATTTATTTAATTAAACCGGCAGACCTTACAAATGTCAGTGCTAATAAATCGAAGATGCTAAAATCAACATAAACAGCCACGATTCAAATGATTTATAATGTTGGAAGAGGGAATTTAAAATGAACTTGTTGCCGCCATGGAATCGTCCTGCGCAGTTTTCGCATATTGACTCTAGGCAACCCATTATTCATTAGTCGGGACCTTATTCGCAATTTAATTTGACAAGTTTGAATTTTAGCGCACAAGGTTTAATCATAGAAATGAAAAATATTTCCATAGCTTATCTTAATCTGAGATTTTTATAAGCTGTGTCAGATATAACGGGAAATATGCATTATAACGGTTCATACTATAATTTTTGAGACTTTAAATATGGACCAGTAGTTGTAAAAAATGGAAGGTTATTGACGTGCAAGTAATATAGTGCTTGTTAATATAAATAAAAAGCAATAATTTAGTTAACGTTCTATAATATATTGTTGTGAGTCAAATTTGATTGTAAATATTTGGAAAAGCACATACGCTACCTATTTAAAAGAAAATTTAATGAAAACAATTTTTAGATGCAGTAAGTGGAAAAGTACTTAGTTGATTTCCAAAAATTCCAACAATTTTCCAACAATTTTATCGACGATGCCCAGAAATTCAGAAAATAATTGAAATGTTAGACATGTAATGGAGCACCTCACTACAGCATCCATACGATTTTAAGGCAGCAAATGGAATTAACAACGTATGGATCTTGGCGAGCAATATTATAAAAAGAATTACCACTGTTAGAATTACATGAAACCGATTTCCCTTTGATTTTACCTCCTAAGCGTAAGTTAACTAAGTATAGTAATCGAGTTCATCGGGCGACTTGCCACTTTCATGTTTTCTCGACGTTTCATGATCCTAGAGTACGAAAAACGTGGCATCTCGTTTCTGTCGTCTGTCGTCTGTCAGCAAAAAATTTTGTAGATTTTATACTACAACTTCACGACGATGATATAGGAGTAGGTTATTTTAACAAGACGGGGCTATAAGGCTGGGACCACAATAGGGATGTTACGAGAATTTTTGGGCAACCATAGGATTAGTCGAAACACAGACATTACCTGCTCTTCGCAATCTTGTGATCTTACTCCTGTAGAGTTTTTTGTGTCTCTATTTAAAGAACACTATTTATAGAATATCTGTCAACAATATAAAAGAATGATGGTAGAGAATAACAGAATAAAGTAACGACATTAACATTAATGCATGGGTGCTGCAGCATGTGGTCGATTTTCAGGATTTTCTGTAATTTCATTTATTTTATGTAGGTAATAAAAGTAAGTGATCTTGTACCAATTTTCCTCGTGACTTCACACTTATTTTATTAAAAATCATATTAAAAAGTGCCTGCCATTTTAGCTTTTACATTTATCAGTGTTTTAATTATCTACATGCTAAATCGCCTTTCGAAGAATGACTCGATTACAAATTATGTTGCTCGACCCATACTGTAATGGTATTAATAATAACTTACTACTTAGGGTTCATTTTCTATAGCGATTTGGTAATATATTTGTATGTGATGGATAAATGCGTAATACAAAACTGAACTAAATGTAGCGTAGACAAAGTTGTGCTTTTTGGTGGTATTTATTAATGGAATAGAATCGAATGATGCATTATACTACTTTGTAATTATATATACATTAAAATAATGATAATTAAAAAGAAGAAACGAATACGAGGGGATATTAATAAACAGCCGGCCTTGGTGCTTTCCTATAAACAAAACTGAAAGAGGTGGCAAAAAATACGTTGTTTATTAAATAGTTCCTTCAGTTTTAGGGATAAAAAGTTTAGTCGAATCCACAGTGTCAATTTTTAAAGAAAACATATCTGATAAAAGTCTCACAATCAGTTTTGATAAAAATGTGGATCGGTCGGTGATTAAGTGCTTGTTTTTGAAAGGGTTTTCTGGCAAGAAAATGGATCCAGATATGGTGGATATACTGGAGAATCATTGTTTTCATTCGACAACGAAAAAATTGGGTTGTCGAATTTGAGACAGTAAAAACTAAACGTCCGAGATGAACTGTACACTTTTGAAGAAAATATTGGACATGGCGTAATTTTCGAGGATTAAAGAATTGGGCCCATACGCACAATTAAGATTGATTAACTTTTTTTTATGACCTGTCTTTCATATTGTACATCATGACTTGAGTATGAAACAATGATCTGCCTAGAGGTCTCTAAATGCCTAAATGTTATTGACAAACTACTCAGTGACAGCTTCGAAGTCACTGCAAGAATTTTGAAGAGAATTCTTCCAATACTTTAGATTATATTGAAATACTGGACGAAATAAGAAAGAAAAATTAAAACCCAATGGTTCCTAATTGAAACTGACTGACCACGCCACTGTTCCTCAAATTTAGACTATTATTTATTTCCAAAACTACAAAAAGCTGAAAGAGAAAAAGTGTACCGACTTAAGTTGAATTAAATAAACTGTTTTTTGGCAATAGAATGTTAAGTCATCAACTTATCAATACCTCAATTGTTTTTTGGTATATTATTCCATTTTAAATTTAATATAATGACATCCTAGTCAAACGAACATTACCTAAAAATTTAGTAGAATTATTTGACGCGTTCAAAATTTTTGGTAAAAATTGTTTTAGTTTGTAAAATATTTAGTTTATTCGATAAATAGTTTCCATATAGTTTTTATTGCAACGTTATGATGTCATAGCAAAAAATTGTTAAATAAATCAAAAATTGGTCTATAGAGTTTAGACAGTACTTCCCTCGCTGTAGGCAACGTGACGACTGCATGCCTATTATGTTTTTTATTCGTACTACATTTTTGTAGCGGTGTATTTTAAAATAAAATGAGTACTCATTTTTTCAATTTTGTCATTATTTGGCATTGACATCTTTGTCATTTGTTTGTGATTGCTATGATTGCTTATTAAAAAAAAATTAATTTGGACGAAGTCGTCTCTGGGGTGTGTAATATGTTGCCTATGTAAAAATTGTCAGGCGTAAACAGATAAAAGGAACCCCCTGTATAGTACTTATAATTTAAGACGAATACGTCTGCAAGATTTCAAAGTATTCAGTTTTGCAATTCTTGATTTAATCAATAAAATTAATTTACTCAGTCATTAATTTTTTTCAGACACCCCGTATAAGCAATCTAAAAAACATTAATGCAGTGATAAATCACAAGTATAGACTCATTATTCGTTACACATTTAAGATTATTTTTTCAGCAAAATTTTGAGGCGACGTCATAAAATTTTTAGGGGGGATGAGCAAATACATTTTGATCAAGATTTTACCATGCTTCTAAATTTAAAACATCTCCAAGATTTCAAAGCATTCGGTTTTGCAGTTCCTGATTAAATCAATAAAATACATTCACGCATTCATTAATTTTAGTGGGTTCAGCCCGTAGGTGCAAATCCAAAAAATATGAATGGAATTTTTCTTTATTTTAGATAGGATTTATTCAGCAAACTTTTGAGCTGACGTCATCAATTTTTGGAGGGGATAAGTAAATATATTTCGATTAAACATTTATCATGCTTATCATAACTATAAACCATCTGCAAGATTTCAAAGCATTCGGTTTTGTAGATTCAAAATTAAATTGCAAAATCTTGTTTCATAATTTTGATTTTTTTTCCAAAAATCTGAACGTTTCTGGTAAAAACTCAATTCCGAGTCATAAACTACATGTGTAAGACTATGTTATTTTATACAATTTAAAACCCATTTACTATGTACAATTCTGAAGTGACGTCATCGCATTAGTGGTGGGGATGATTAGACAAATTTTGGTTAGCGTTTTACCATCTACTTACATGATAGACCTAATATAAG